CCTATCTTGGGCTGTTTCTTTGTCACTGGACAACCGGAGCCCAATGTCCCCCAGCAGCATCACAGATCCTCATGACAGGGTGGGGAGGCACCTCCATAGTTAACTGTTAGATTTGATGTCCAGCCAGGTGCGGTGGTAAACGGCCTTGATTCCAACACTTGGGCCGAAGAGGCAGGCAGATCTTGTGATGTCAAGGTCAGCTTGGTCTACACAGTGAGTTTCAGCAGTTGGAGCTGCACAGTGAGACCTTGTCTCAAAATAAAGAAAGAAAGAAAGAAAGAAATTGGTGTTCGAGTGTAAGTGACTCTCAAACCCTCTTTGGGGACTTCAAGATGCACCAGTAGAACTGGGGTCCCTCCGGGAGTCCAAGGGGAGATCAATGGCAGGAACATATTGGGGGCACAGCGCAGCAGGCAGAATAAACTCCGAGAGTACGGAAGTATCCCTAGCAGGGTACCAGCTTCCCACAAAACCACCAGAGCATTCAAGATGCCCTTCATCCTCCATCTTTTACATGAGCTAACGTTCTGGTTTATTGATCAGAGGGTGATTGATCTGAATGGCAGACTACATAGCTAGTAGCTGATAGAACAAGAGTGTGACTTTGGCGATGGGAAGCAGGCCATTCATACAGATGCTCTAATGGTGGGAGGCTCCCCACAGAGACTCCAAACTGCAAATGACGTTGGACATAGGCAGAATAGTCCAAGGGACCAAGGCAGGGCTCTCACCTTGAGAATGGCCATGAAAAGCTGGACATCATAGGAATCAAATGTAAAAGGTAAAGTGTGGGTGGAATTTTCCTGTCCCGACCATTTGCTCCCAAACAACCGGCAGTCGCTTCCCAAATTACCATATATAATTTATATAACTCTAAATTATAATTAATTTATTTTAAATTAATAATTTTTTCACTAATTATATATATAAATAATAAGCCAAAAGCTCAAGTTTATTATTAACTAGCTCTTACATTTAAATTAACTCATTTTTATTAATCTGTATGTTGCCACGTGGCTTTACCTGTCCCCAAGCATGTCTTGCTTCCTGGGTGGCTGTCTCACATCTCTCCTGACTCCACCCCCCTTCTCCCCGTCACTCTCAGTTCGGCTTTCCTGCCTACCTTCCTGCCCAGCTACCAGTCTGTCAGTTTTCTGTTAGCCACCGAGAGTGACACCTATTCACAGTGTAGAAAAGGACTGTCCTGCACCAGGACAGCCCAGTTTGCGGTGGCCTGGAAGGAAAAGCATGAGCAAAGGCGTTTAAGCCTCCACGTCTTCGTTCGAAATGGAAAATTATACTTGATAATCTGAATTATCACTCATCTCCAATGCCCTGACTGCTCTTTTCGAGTGTTCCACCGTGGTAGAGAGGAGAGAGGACTCAGAGGACGGTTGCCATAGAGTCCCCCTTCCCCCATCAGCATCTGCTCGGAGTTTGAGGGTGGCAATCCCTGTTAAGGTGGAGTCTTTGCCACACTTTCTGAGAGATTCTAAACAGACAATTCTGAGCAATGCGGACATCACTTTTGTCTGCAGAAACCGCAAGGGTCCCTCAGGAATTCACAGACCAGCTTCAGTGGATGGGTAGGTTAGTCTCCTTCCGTGTGGTGGGGGTGCAGGTGGGGGACTCCAGCTTGGCAAATGGCAAGTAAGTAAAGAGAACCTGTAAGCTCACGAGCTCTGGAGTGCGCTGACAAACTCTGCGTGTTGGCTTCCCCTTTACTTCATGGTTCAGCAGAGGGCACAGCTGCTGCCATGAGGAAGCTTTGGGAGGAAAAATACCACATGGAGCTCCCCCAAGACTGGGTATTATGTGTATCTAGATACTATGCGGCTATTGTGGGTATTTAGAGCCACAGAAGTGAGCAGCATTCCTCTTGCCTGGCTTATAAGGCGTGGCAGTCACAGCCAGGCTTTTTAGGGACTCCTAAAAAGGTCCTAAACAGGGTGGCACCTGAGGTTGTGAGAAAGGGCTTTCTAATTGTTTGATCTGCTCAGCTTCAGAGACAAGAAAGGGTTGAGAGCTAAGCCCCACGTGTTGTTGTTGTTGGTGTTGTTGTTGTTTTAATTGGAAAAAAAACCACACCTCTCAGGGACCAGGAGATGATTCAGTGGGGACAGCACTTGCCCAGCCAGCCTTACAACCTGCATTCTGTCCATACCTGGAAAGTGCACAAAGGTAGGAGAAAGCCAACTCCACATGATCATCTCCCGACCTCTATACACCTCTACTCCACACGTTCTCCTGACCTCTAGCACGCCACACTCGGTCAGGCCCACAGACACAGTCATAATAAGACGTGAAAGCCATCTGTGTTTTTATAGCTGTTACTAAACTGGGGTCACTACCGTGAAGCAGCGGAATCCTGGTGAGCTCGCGGCTTCAAAGGGAGCCGTCCCCTGTGGAATAATTCCCTCAAGGTTTGTAGCCTCTCTGTCTCACTTCTCCAACAGCCAAGAGCCACAGCGTGTTAGTTCCCAGCCCCACCTCTATCCACACCCCGCTGTGATTTCTTTGGGTTTCCCCTCCTGCCAAACACTCCACAGAAGGACAGAGCTCCTAGCTCCAAGGCTGCTCCCCAGTTCTAGCACTGGCAAGATGTAAGCCAGACCCGGCTTCTAGATCCAAGCCCCAGCCCGCTCCCAGGTTCTCAGGCGAGAAGCCGCCCTACGACACCAGATGTGGAGGCCCACACCTGCGATCCCAGAGCTTGGGAAGAGGAGGCTGGAGGATCCGGAGTGGAAAGTCGTTTTTGGCTATATAGTGTGTTTAAGACCACCTTGGGCTACATGAGATCGCGTCCAAATAAATTACAAAAGAAAGAAAGAACCAAAGCAAAGCAAATCTACTACTATGAGAAGTTCATAAAGTATAAGCCATAAGAAACAGAAGTAGATACAAACGCTAGGGTCTTTTGGTCTGAGTTTTGGGTTTTGATTTTTAGAGATAGGTTTTCTCTGTGTAGCCCTGACCTGAAACTCTCTCTCTAGACCAGGCTGGTTTTGAACTCACAGATCTACAAACTCCTGAGTGATAGAATAGGATTAAAGGCGTGGGCCCCTATGCCCAGCTAAAACTCTCGTTTTAATCTTTTTTTTTTCTTATTAAATTAAATGGGGTGAAGCACCGTTGTCCATGTAGGTCAAAACCAACCAAATATTAGCAATTTCATGTGATTTCGGCTGTTGTAAGAGCAGCTTTTTTTTTTAAAAAAAAAAGTCTTTTTTTTTTAAAAAAAAAAGATTTAATTATTTATTTATATTAGTATTTTGTCTGCATGTATGTCTGTATACCCAAAGAAGGCATCAGCTCCCATTATAGATAGCTGTGAGCCACCATATGGGTGCCGGGAAAAGAACTCAGGACCTCTGGAAGAGCAGCCAGTGCTCTTAATCTCCGAGTCGTCTCTCACCAGCCTCCAGGGAAACAGCTTTAAATTGCTCCAGCACAGACTTGGATGAATTTCTCTGTTCAGAAGAACCAAGCCCTGAAGACAGAGCCTTTTGTCCGATCTTTGTTTTCTTGTCTTCTGTACATGGTAACGGGATTTCATTGGCTATTTTAAAACCTCTTTTTAAAAGTGTGATTTCCCCGAATTGAGAAGTGCTTATTCTCTCCCTGTGGCCTGTGAGACTGAGAGGAAGGAACACGCAAAACGAGAAGGACACACAAACTTTCAGAAACTGCCTTTTTTTTTTTTTTTTGGTTAATTTTCTTTTTGGTTGTTGTTTGCTTGAGAAGTCAGAAAAACACAAATGTCGGCTCATCCTACGCAAGGCAAACATGATAGGAACAGAACACGCTATGTCGGAGTCAAATGCGCCTGGTGATGTAAACAGACCCTGAGCACGGTTTCTATATAGCAAGCTGATGTGGAAGTCCAGTCTTTGATTTCAGTGTATAAACTAACACATTAATATAATATGTGTCTCCATAGCATTCTTTTTAATGGCTATGAATTGTTCTGTTACATGGGAATATTGTAAGGTTATTAATAATTGTTCTGTGGGCATTTGGAATGTTTTTTAATTCACAATTGTGAACAAGGTTGGAAATCTATTTTCTTAGACCTTTGCAAACTTGTGCAGCTATTTCCGAGGACACAGCCTAAGAAACCTTTCTAGGAGCTGACACAAAGGAAATAATTATTTTATTTTAATAGATATTACAAAACTATCATCTTAAAGTCTATACACATTATCTCCCAACAGTGATGGTGGTCCCCGGTCTCCCTGGGTGTGGTGGGTTTTAGAAACAGTCTGTTCTCATCAGAGAGATGGTAGAACCATGGTACTCTGTGGATGTCTGTAGTTCACACCTTTCGCTGGGTGTCTGATAAATTAACATAATGGCAGCTCGGAGGTTTGCCCAAAAAGGCCCACATTTGTGCCTCTCTTTGGGCCATTATATATATATATATATATATATATATATATATATATATATATATATGTGTGTGTGTGTGTGTGTGTGTGTGTGTGTGTGTTACAGTTGTGTAACTTGGTCTTCCTGTAGGACTCCTAGCAGTGGAAGCAGGGGATGGTTCTGGCTCTGTTGCCTGCTTTTGGGACCCATTCCTCCCAGCATATTGCCTCATTCAGCCTTGTTGGGTGAGGGAGTGCCTGGTCTCACGGCACCTTGATATACCATGGCTGGCTGGTATCCATAGGATGTCCACCTGTGTCTGAAGAGAAACTGGAGGAGGACTGGATGGGGCAGGGGAGAGGGAGAAGGAAGGTGGGGGGACTGGGAAAAGGAGAAGGAGGGGAAGCTTCAGTTAGGATGTAATGTTGTGGGAGTAACTTCCGCTGCCTCAACCAATAGTCGCTGAAATACGAGCCCACAATGCAGCGGGGAGCGACTTCCGCTCCGTCAGCCAATAGCTGCTGAAATACCAGCCCACTGGGGCGTGGTATATTTGTCTTTTAAAAAGAGAAACATATCCGGATCAGGCCTCTTGGTTCCGGCTCTTGGTTCCGGTGCTTGCTCCTGGCTCCTGCTCCCGGCTCCTGCGACTAGGCTCCCTTCCTGACGGTTTATGGTATATGTAAGTTTTACCCCCCAAAATAAATAACCCCTTAAAACATAACTGGTGTGGGATTGATTCGCCGATAATGTAAAAACAAGGGGAAAAAGAGAATCAGGATTTACTCAAGATTTTTTGTTTTTTTTTTAAAAAGGAACTTTCTACCAAGCCTGAAGATCCGAGATTGATTCCCATAGCACCACACAGTGGAAAGGGGTAACAAACGGTCCTCTGACCTCCACATGTGCACTGTGACACAAACACATATGTAATACACAAATGGAAACTGAAATTTAAAAAGAAGAAGAAGAAGATTGCTCATGGCTCTTGCTGCAGACAGTGATTCCACGCATCCAACGTCTCTTCTGAAGATCTGTTCTCTTGTGGATCTGCGCTCAGGGCCAAACTTAATCAGTCACGGTCTGTGCAACTATTACGCCATCATTCGACTTTTGAAAGGTTTTCCATCCATACAATGAGGCTTGTGCAAAGCTGCATAATGAGAAAGTCCTTTAGCCGTACGCTGACCACACACAATAATTATCAGTTCTCATAGCCAAGGGCAGGACAAGGCTAATGATACACTACTTTTAAGGCGTTTAGCAAAAGCTCAGTCATCAGGATGAATAATGTTTAAATCAAAATTAATGTGAAACCTACATTGAATAAATATCAAAGCTTTCCACAAAGACAGAGTTGGGCCCTCGGATCCCCTCAGTCACCGTTTTGGCTTGGGAAGGTCGCTGGGCTGACAGGGGCGAGGCTGTGTTTTCATGTCTCCGAGCTCTTAGAAGGAGAGTCGTGGCCCTTAAAAAACCACAGCGACGCCCACCCTGCTACTTTATGTGGGATCACTTGGCCGGGGATGTCAGAGTTTCTCTCTCTTGAGTGAGGCTTCCTGTAGCCCAACGTCACAACCTGCTGTGGAGTTATAACGAGAGAGGAAGCAGCTCCCACTGAACTTCTCTTAATTTAAAAAAATAAGAAGTTCCTGTCCCTCAGGCAATTCATATGTCCTGTGGCATCTCATTAAAGCATTTTGAGTGAGGCATTGACATTACATTATTGCTATTGTTGTACAGAGGATTAAATCAGGGTCACAGGCACACCAAGCGCACACTGTACCATGGAGCTATGACACTCCCCCAACATAAGGCCTCATGAAAGACACATCCAGTCAGAAAGCAGTACGTACTGTCCCTGCATTGACGCTATTGTCACTGTGCTGAAAGTCCCTGAAAGCAGAGAAAGTCCTCCATTAACAGTTTATAACGCCAAACTCCAACCCAAAGACACTACACAATAGCAGTTGGTGGTTTGCCAAGAAATGTATCCCGGGTCATTTTCCCCTTAATAATTCTAGTAAATGGAGAAAAGCTTAAAAACCCACCATAGGTTGAGTGATCTTGCAAAGTGAATAAGAAAGAGCACTTTTTAGTGTTTCTACATGTCTGACACAGAGCTGTTTGTTTTCCATACACTCTCTTAAAGATCCTTTCAATAATCCAACAAAATGGTGGCCACTATTATTCCTGTTTTTCAGATCCAGAAGTGGAAACTCAGAGATTAAGTAACTTGCCTAGGGCAGCCTAGAAAGTGGTAAAATAGGAATTTGAGTTTGGATCTGTCTGGTCCCTTCCGGCGGTGGGGGGGGGGGTTAAATCCCAACCAAAGCCTTTTCAAACTGACGGAGGTGAGCTCCACACACCTGGCCAGCGGCTATGGGAGCTTTCTCCTCTCACCCCAGTGTCTTCCTCAGTTTCAGTATTGCCGCCTGTGAGGGGATGCTGTGCTGCGTGTCACACATCACAGAGACTTGGCCTGCATGTAAAAATATATTGAGAGTTATCAGTTCACAAGGTCAGCCCAGGCACTCCGCGAGAATGCTCTTTAGCCCCAAATTCCTCAAGACACCACAGCAACCCCTTAGCCACTTTTGACCACTTCAGATGTTGGGAGCATCCTTTAGAGCAAGAACTGCAGTGCTGAAGACCCATCTGACCAATCTTTAGACATACAGTGAGGTGCAGAACTTCCCAACAGTAATGGAGCTATAGGTTGTTGACAGAGAAACTCACCACAATCCCTAGGACCATCCACAGTGGGCAGAAGAGCTGGTCAGGTGCAGTCTGCAGTAAAAATAAATCCAAACCCTCAAGCCCCTGCAAGATAATTCCTCTGATCAATAGCCTATGTTCACTAATCATTCAGCTTTAGGCAAAACAGTAACCACAAAAAACAAAAACAAAAACAAAAGAAAAACCCTAAGTCTGTATGCTCTCATCTGTATCAGCTCTTTAAAAGATTCGGACAACCCCTATTCTTTTTCATGAGTGTCTCTGCAGTTCCTAGCCCAGCTTGCAGGCTCCTGTCTCAGTAGAGATGGAGGCGTGCAGGTTTCTTGGACAAGGTCAGAAATGGCTGTGGGAACAGTCTGAATCAGAGTTCCCTCTAAGGGTCAGACATTTCCCCCTCTGCTGCATGTCGATGGCATTACATGTTACATCAGCTAGCACGGAAGAGCACTTCTTTTTCTTTTCTTTTTTAATTGAGGCAAACTACACATTAAACTTGCCTTTAAAGACTGTCATTCTGGGTGTTAAGAACATTCCAGAATGTTCTTTTCGTCGTTCATCGTCACAAACCGACACTTTGTGCCCATCAGCACCAGCTCCCCGTTTCTCTCCCTTTTGTCCTCTGATATTTGCTGATCTGTTTTCTGTCTCAAAATATGATGGTTTTAGCTGGGCGGTGGTGGCATACGCCTTTAATCCCAGCACTCAGGAGGCAGAGGCAGGTGGATCCCTGTGAGTTTGAGGCCAGCCTGTTCTACAAGAGCTAGTTCCAGGACAGGCACCAAAAACTATGGAGAAACCCTGTCTCAAAAAAAAAAAAAAAAAAAAAAAGATGGTTTTAGATGCCATCTGTAAGTGAACTCAGACAATATTTGTTCTTTTTAAATAGGCTTATTTATTTCACTTAGTGCCTTTCCAATTCCCCACCAACCCACATTCACATTCCAGTGTGCCTCAGAATATCCCCCCCCCACTTCCAGGATTTCTCTGTGTAACATCCTTGCCTGACCTGGAACTTGCTCTGTAGACCAGGCTGACTCACAGAGATCCCCCTGCCTCTACCTCTCGGGTACTGGGATTAAGGGTGTGTGCCAGCCCGCTTAGTTTACATTTTCTTTTTAAGGCTGAATGATACTAAGTGCACAGACCACATCCTGCTTGTCATCAGACATTCGGATTGCCTTAGGACTCTCGTGGAAAACGCTGCTGTGAACATGGACATTCCTGCAAGTAGTGTCGCTGGATCACCAGGTGTCTCAGGCTTTCTTATCGATTTAACAGAACTGCCATGCTGGCCTCCGAGCCTCTTGGAACACTTTGGTGGTTCTTCCTTCCAGGTTCAGATCAGTTACCTTGCCTCTCAAACTAGGTGGACTAGCAAAAGTAAGAAGAAAGCAGTTCCAGCAGTCAGTTGTGAGAGCGTGGGGAGTAGGCAGAGACTGTCTATTGGAGCGAGTCCTTAAAACAAATGTCAGTCAGCGCCCAGTCACTAGGACAGCTCTGGGAAATCAGCTTACAGAAGAAGAACTTCAGTCTGGCAGATAGAGGCTTCAGTACGAGGTTTCATCGCCCTGTCACTTGGAGTCTGTGCAAAGCGGAACATCATGGCATGGGAATCATTACGAAACAAATATGCTTATCTTGTGGTTCCCATGGAGCAGGTGGGAGGAGGTGACGGGAGGGGATGGGAGGGAAGGAAAAAAGAAGGGAGGGGAAGGGCACCAGAGGAAGGGACTAGAGACAAAATATATCTTTAAAGGGCAGGTGAATACTCATATATATTCATATATATATATATATATTATATATGTGTGTGTGTGTGTGTGCGCACGTGTACATACATATATATCCACACATATGTGTATATGTATACACACATGTGTGGTATATATGATATATAATGTTGTGTATATTATATTTGTAATTTTATATGTAATACATTTATATATTTAATACAATTATACATAGGTAATACATCTTTACACACACAGAGTGAATAAGGGGTTGACAAAGAGAAAAGAGGAAGGAGGGAAAGTCTGTAAGTCTGTATTTCTCACTAGATGAGTACTTTTTTTGGTTTCGGTTTTGGAGAGTTTGTGTGGGTGTGGTATGCATGTGGGTGCACACACCCGTGTGAATGTGAGTGTACATACCGTGTGAATGTGGGTGCGCACACCCGTGTGAATGTTCATGGAGGTCAGAGGTCAACATCAGATATCTTTCTAAATCACTCTCTATCTTATTATTTTTTCTTTTTTGAATTTAAAAGTTTTAAATTCATTTTACATTCCAACCACAGTTTCCCCTCCCACCCCTCCTTCAGCCCCCACCGCCGCCTCCCCCTCATCTCACCCCCATTCACTCCTCTGAAAGGATAAGGCCTCCAATGTGGAGTCACCAAAGCCTGGCAGGTTGAGACAGGCCTCTCCCCACTGCACAAGGCTGAGCAAGGCATCCCATCATAGAGAATGGGCTCCAAAAGGCCAGTTCATGCACCAGGGGTAGATCCGGGTCCCACTCCAGGGGCCCCCCAAACAGACCAAGTTACACAACTGTCACCCACATGCAGAGGGCCTAGTTCGGTCCCATGCGGGCTCCCCAGCCGTCGGTCTAGAGTCCAGGAGGGGCCCCTCAAACCGATCAAGCTACACAGCTGTCGTTCTGAAGTGTGTGAGTCCCCACGAACTTGGTTCAACTGTCTCTCTACACCTTGTTTTCTGAGGTAAAGTCTCTCACTGAACCTGCCATGCACCCAGTTTTTACATGGGTGTTGGGGACCCAAATGCAGGGCCTCATGTCTCTGCAGTGAGCACTTTGCCCACTGAGCCGTCTCCCCAGCCCCCCTTCTTTGAGCTTTTTGTTTGTTTGTTCTCATTTTTTGTTTTGGTTTGTTTTTAGGCACAGAGTTTTTTATGTAGCCAGGGGTGTTCTCAAATTTATAGCCCTTTGCTTCAGTTTCTGGAGTTCTGGGATTTCAGGGGTGTGCTCCACGTCTGGCTTCCAGCCCCAACAATGTGTTCTTGTTTGTGGTAGTGGTGATGCTGGGGATGGAAGCGAAGGTCATGTGTGTGATGGCAAGTCCATACCACTTAACTACACAGGGTACCCAGGAGAGTTGTCTTTGAGACCATGATTGGGAGCTACTGTGGATCTGAGGTTGAACTGCAGAGGTTCATGAGACAAATGGCTTGTCAGACACTTGACTGAGCTCAAGGATTTCCCCCAAGATCCCCTAGTTTGCATGGAAGCCACGTACCATTGCTTTCATTGGATGTGGGAAAAGCCCCACTACACACTGAGTCACGCTTACTAAGAGCTTTTCTAAGGCATACAGGTTTTTATTAACTTGTGAGAGTGAGCTTTTAACTTTCAAGGACTTTGTGAGACAGTTAAAAGCAGCCAGCACTAAGAATGGAGTTGGGTCTGCTTGGTGTTTGAACAAATGGCCTTAAAACAAATACCAGAAAGTCCTCCAAGCTCTTCACTGCCTGATCATTCCGTCGTGTGCTCACCGCGGTTGTACCTGATCATTCTGTCGTGTGTTCACCGTGATTGTACCTGATCATTCTGTCGTGTGCTCACCGTGGTTGTGCCTGATCATTCCGTCGTGTGCTCACCGTAGTTGTGCCCTAGAGAGCTCTTCTGGCCACTGCTTCAGCATGGGGAAAGCGCTATACTGGGACATTCATGCCTATCTCATTCCAACTCTACCTTCAATGATATTACAGTGACACCTTGAAATTGACCATGGAGTGTGTGTGTGTGTGTGTGTGTGTGTGTGTGTGTGTGTGTGACAAAATTAGCAAACACTGATCAGAATTTTATTCAATGTTTATTAAATTTCTATATAAAATAATTAAGAGAGTATTACTGCTATTTCAAAGCCCCTCTCCATTGCCAGGCATTTCTCAGCCAGCTGCTGTATCTGTGTTGTTTACATCTGCCATGAAAAAGTGAAAACACTCAGGCTTAGTGGCACACTTTTAAATCCTGGTAGTGGGGAGGTTGAGGCAAGAGGATCATCCTCAATTACATAATGAGTTCAAGGCCAGACTAGAATGTATATGACTCTGTCTCAAATACGAAGCGAAGGTTGGTAAAATGGCTCAGGCAATGAAGATGCTTTCTGTACAAGCCCTGAGTTCAGGCTCCAGAGCCCTGCAAAAGTGAAGGGGGAGCCAAAGTTCTTCTCACATCACAAAGTTGTCCTCAGACATCTGCACACACACCACTCCCACATATACAGAAATAAATAGATAAATATTCACAAAAGAGCATTTCTCTCCCCCCTCCCATTTTTTTATTTTATTGAGCTATACATTTTTCTCTGATCCCTTCTCTTCCTCTCTCCTCCCCTCCTCTCCCCTCCCCTCCAACCCTCTCTCATGGTCCCCATGCTCCCAATTTACTCAGGAGATCTTGTCTTTCTCCACTTCCCATGTAGATTAGATCTATGTAAGTCCCTCTTAGTGTCCTCTTTGTTGTCTAGGTTCTGTGAGATTGTGATTTGTGGGCTGGTTGTCTTTGTTTTATGTCTAAAAGCCACTTACGAGTGAGTCCATATGATATTTGTCTTTCTGGGTCTGGGTTACCTCACTCAATATCCTATTTTCGAGGTCCATCTATTTGCCTGCAAATTTCAAGATGTCAATATTTTTTTCTGCTGTGTAGTACTCCATTGTGTAAATGTACCATATTTTCCTTACCTGTTCTTTGGTTGAGGTGCATTTAGGTTGTTTCCAGGTTCTGGCTGTGACAAACAATGCTTCTATGAACATAGTTGAGCACATGTCCTTGTGGCATGACTGAACATCCTTTGGATATATACCCAAAAGTGGTATTGCTGGGTCTTGAGGAAGGTTGTTTCCTAATTTTCTGAGAAATCGCCACACTGACATCCAAAGGGACTGTACCAGTTTGCACTCCCATCAGCAATGCAGGAATGTTCCCTTTTCCCCACAACCTCTCCAGCATAAGTTGTCATCAGTGTTTTTGATCTTGGCCATTCTTACAGGTATAAGATGAAATCTCAGAGTTGTTTTGATTTGCATTTCTCTGATGATTAAAGATGTTGAGCATTTCCTTTAGTGATTCCTTTAGTCTTTCGGTGATTTTAGATTCCTCTATTGAGAGTTCTCTGTTTACATCTGTACTCCATTTTTTTTTTACTGGATTATTTGTTCTTTTGATGATCAATGTCTTAAGTTCTTTTTATATTTTGGAGATCAGTCGTCTGTCCATTGTGTGTTTGGTGAAGATCTTTTCCCATTCTGTAGACTGCTGTTTTGTCTTATTGACTGTGTTCTTTGCTTTATAGAAGGTTTTCAGTTTCAGGAGGTCCCATTTATTAATTGTTTTTCTC